TAATTGAATAAACAAGACGGTTACATGAATGTTTCAGAAAGAAACATAATTTACCTTAATTGTAACTTGATCATGAATTTAATGTATTTCCAACTATTAATAATTCCCTAGATCAGTATACGTGTTAATAATGTCTTACATTTAAATGTACCAAATGATATGCATATAGTTTAAGTAAATACGTGTTACTGACACATATAAATTGATATAAATTGTATTATTCTTAAAAACTGTTATATCTAATATATAAATTATAAATGTAACTATCTATTTTAATAATAGTTTGAATGCTTCATTTGTTCCATGCAGTGATCACTATAGTACATACTACATAGAATCAATATTATAATAATATCTGCTTTTAAGAAAATCATTTTTTACATCAATACTAATGCGCAGTCTCTTTCAAGCCAACTCATAAAATAAAAGTGAACCTTAACTCAAAGTTTGCAATGTAATTACAATTATTTTATTAAACTTAATTATAATTATTATTCATTTGAGATCTGGCTTTTATGTGTACAGTAGAAGACAACTAGGAAGATAAAACAATAAATTTAAAAAGAAAAAATCTATCATAGGTAATTTTATTCAATAATAAAAAAAAGTATTAATAGTAATCATTAAAAAAATTTTATGGGAATTAAATTGACAAATGTTACAGTTATTAACTGAGCTAAAAAAAAAAAAATAATAAACACTTAATGGCAAAAAATTATTGAAAAAAAAATGAATTAAAAAAAAATACGAATATTAGTTATTAAAAAAAAGTAATTTATAAGTTCAATGCCATATTCTCAAAGTAAGCAATTACAAATAGAATAGACAATCTTCCAATGCAGGGTTGGCAGGAGATCGGAGAGTCTGACCAGTAAGGAATGCCAATTTATGAGCTAACTGACATGGAGCAGGAACCCGTATAGTACCCTAGATAAGAAACAAAAGTTATTCGTGAATAATAACAAAGATACCAGAACAATATACTAACCGTCGTATTGTAGTACATATGAGTCAATTTAAATGTAAGTCTTTGTAATATATCAGGAGGAAATTTAAGCGTGTCTTCAATCACATTATAATGTGTAGGAGTTACAGTGCCCTCTTTTGTATGTTGTGAAACCATGAAGAAATCATACCTGCAATTCATGATATATAGGTATTACATAATGTATATTTCCTTGTTTTTCTACTACAGTACGATAAACATCATTGTTTGCATATCTAGATAGCTCTGTCCTGACAACTATAATAGTTTTTTTTTTTACAGTAAAGTAAAGTAATAAACGTTAAACTTACCCACGCTAACGAAAATGAAACAGTTACTTAAATTTAATTTAAAAAAGTATACATTTAGGTAAAAATGTTAGAATGTTTATGCATAGCTTACTTTGTTGGGTCTGTAACAACAGTATCAACAACTGTACCAGGTTGAGGATTTTCGATGCTTCTAGAATTAGGAGCAAAAAATTTAGTACTTATTCGTTTAGTGACAACGACAAATGTAAACGGTACACATGGTGTCCCATACATTTTTTCACAAGCAGCCTAAGAAAATAAAAATTAATTAAAAAAAAAAAAAATTTTAAATAATTTAAACAAACACTTACTTGTAATAGTTTTACTTCTGTCTTATAAACATGTGATATTTGGCCTTCTCCAACTCCATCTCTATACACAACAATGGAAGAAGGTAATTTACCATTTTTAGCTCTATACTTGGCAAGAGCCTCTGAAAAATGATATATATTTTTATAATTATTTTATTTAAATAACTACCGACTTACAAAAAATAAAGAAATACATCAACATAAATTAAAAAGGTCACAAGTACTTACTTAATACGCTCGAAGCAAAATATACCGAAAGTTCCTGCCCACCTTCATGTGGCTCTACGCAACTAAAATAACTTGTATGAGTATCATTCATAGTAGCTACTAAAGCTCCGAATGATATATTTGAACGTTGACTGTCATGAAATACATCAAAACCAATAATCATCAACCCCTAAAAAATTTTAAACAAGAGTAATTACAATTGATCTGTATACTCCAAAATATTGATAGTTTAACTATTATTACTTTTTTAGGTATGGTAACTAGCCAAGGTGCACCTCCAAGTTTGCAATTTATTTGAATAGCTATTTTGGTACACATTGACCAATTATTCTTTTTTACGTTATTTGCCAGTACTACTTGAGATGGTACTGAAAACAAAGGTTTTGATATAAAGAAACCAATATATTAACAAATTTATATATAAATATATATCAGAAATATACCTGCTCTATCGATACATAACTTTCGTTTAATTACAGAGTATAAATCTTTGCGTGGGTTTGGGATAACACATAAAATCAATGCGGGATTCCACATGTTAACGACTTCTTCAAGTGCTGTTAAAAAACTTATAGAACTTGCATCATTTATGGTGACTCTATAAATGAAACTCATTAGATTTCAAGAAAATATTACATCATAAAATATTTACATAGAAGGTTTGGGTAGTGTAAAAGACATTCCTTGCGAAACCTTTGTAAGTGAATAAATAAATGCACCAACTTCTTTCGCATATTCTTTTGGGGTGACTATAGTCCAATTCTTCACAGTTTTAAGCGTGAACATTGGTAATTTCCGTAAATGATGTGTCCAATTGCCTTGATAACCACCATTATACGCCTTATCAGTAGCACCACTTTTAATTTGTTCTGGTGGTAGAATACGACCAGTTAATTCAATGAGACTATTACTTAATGTCAGGTTCCATTTTGTTAATTCAGTTACAGACTAAATATTGAAATAATTATATTCAATTAAATAACGTTTGCACAAAATTAAATTATTCTAAAAAATTAAATTTATAATGTTCATAAATAACTTACGTCGGGTGTTTTAAGAAGACGATTTGCAAAAGTTGTTAGTTTTTTTATGCGATTTTTGGGATCTATACGGGTATATGTGTCCAATTCATTCTTCAGATGGAAATTATTTCTATATAATTCAAAACACAAGATAGTTTATATGCATCGAGTTTAATTCATTTTTAATTTACTACCTCATGCCATCAGTTAAACCTGTCATATAACATAATTCAGGAACAAGATAAACCAATGTATCTTCAACTTCAAATTGCCTTATTGATCTTTTATTTTTTGAAATCAACATTGGTTGCCTACCATCTCGAATTGTGATGTTCCATTTCTAATACAGTAATCAATACATTAGTATTAGTTTATAATGATGAATATTTATATGATAATTATGTACTTCTTTGTAATATTGTATATAAGTCATTTTAGATCCATCTTTTTTATCAAATTTAGAATTTGGGTTTGAATTTGCATCTACATCGTCTATTCTGTATGTTTCATTGTTATATTTAGTCATAACTGTAGTACCAATAACACCATTTTTGAAGTCAATCTAAAAAATTAAATACATTACTCCTTTGAGTATTTTTTAAAATTCAACTATACCAAAATCCCACAAGTTTTACAAACTAACCAGCCAATTATGATTTTTATCAGCGAAACACACATTAAAAAAATCAAAAACTGTTTCCTCTCTTATTATTTTTGTGGTTAAATCTGCACATAGTAATATGTTATTTTCATATCTGCCGATTTTTGTTTCATAACCAGGCCAAAGTTGGAGCTTATGTCGAGGTAAGTCAATCTAGAAGCAATTATAAAATGTCAGAAAAATCATGATAAAAAACTTTTTAAATAAAATATTTACTATGGCTTTTGAATCATAAAAGTTTCTTCCTATCAACGTTAGGTCTAGGTATCGAAGACAATTCCGCAAAAGTAAGTCGAAGACTTGAATATTGGCATGATCACCAGTTTCTATTATATTTGTGAATTTCACTTTAATAATAACTTTTTGTTCATTCGAGCGACGTATAGATGTAAGTTCAAAAGTCTAAAACAAAATATCAAAATTTACTTATAACATTTCAATGCTAGGTTCCTTAGACACAATCATTTAACATTTAACAGATCACTATTTCACAAATAAACATTACTTGGTGGTTGCCATTAATAATTTTATGAATATACCTATTACCACCATTTTCTTACAACCCAATACTATGACAACAATCATCAATAAAATAATATATTTATATATATAAATAATTGATCGATTAAATTTTATTTTAACAACGACTTACCGGTGGATCATATCGATTTACAGAAAATAACATTGTTCCATCAAATAAATATCCTCCTAAACGTTCTCGATGCTGAGCTAATAAATTTCTTTTAATATTAATTGTATCTTCTTCTGGATTGAAGTCAACTTTATATTGATACAAACACCAATCTGTATTTGAAGTGATTGGAAAATAATTAGCCAACAATTTTATGGTCTGACCAGTTTTTCCTGAGAAAAATTAAAAGAATAAAATACATTGTTATAAAATAAACAGTATTAATATACAGATATCATAATAAAAAAGAAGATAAAATAACAAAACTGAATACGTATACAAGTTTGCATAATGTTTGTGAAGAATTTAATAATGATCTTATTCAATATTAAAGGTATGTACATAAATAATACATTAAAAAAAAATAATCTATTTAAATTATAACTAACCTTGTTTTCCATCATCCCTCAATGAGGATTCAGGTCTCGGAATCCTAAAAATTGTAGACAAAAGTGTTCCTCCTAAGGAAGTTTTTATAAATGCAAATCAATTATTATTAATATGAATGATCTATAAAACTAAGAAAAGAAGTAATAACATTAGAACAATTTGTAAACTATAAAAAACCACTTAACTAATTTTACACATCATCAATATGAACATAAAATCGAATAGAATTCAAGACAAGAATCTTGCCATTTATATTTTAGACTACACTGATATACTTGATACTACTTGTATATAAAATATTTATTACCTGCATCCAAATTTTTAAGTCCTTCTGTAACTTGTTGCACCTTTAAAAAACATTGCATATAAATTTATGTAAGTAGTGTGATATTTCAAAGGAATACTTACTTTTGACATCGGGTCTTGTTTAGGAGATGAACTAGAAATTACAGGTCCTGGTCCACGATGTCTAGGATCCAATTGCTGCGGGGTAAAAGCTTGTGGAGTCCTTTGACTAAGTGGATGTTGTACAAGTGGACCTAACCTTGGCGTTGACTGTGATGTGGTAGGTCTTGGACCAGTAGATTGTGTTGGTCTAGGTCCTCTAACTTCCTGAGAAGGTCCAGACAAACCCTGTTGATTTGTAGCTACTTGAGAATGTCCACGAGCTCTTCCCCTAGATTTTGGTCGAATTTGCTCCATTTTAAATTAATCTAGCAAAATAATAGTTTTTATTTCTAAAATGATCACCAAGAATAAAATATAAACTATAAGCAAGTACAGTTCTTTATAAAACATTTGAAGTTAGATGGACACATGAAAAAAATTGATTTTTAAAATATTTGATAAAATCATGGAAAATAAAAAAGAGTAATAAGTATATTTAAAATAAAAAAGTTTCTTGAACTTTTGAAATCTGGTTTCTCAGCACACATTTACTTTTATACTTAAAAAGCTTAAGATTGTCTAATTTATGATTTGGAAACTAGTACAAAATCATATCCTCGTTAATCTGGATAAACATCAAGACAATAAGATTTAAAAGATTTTTTTTGTGTACAAAGAGTTATAATGGCAAAATAGAAATAAAATTATACATTTCAATTTTTAAACTAAAAAGTTTCAAGGACTCCTAGAGAACCAGTTTTATATGGCATTAGGGAAATTTGGAAAGTATTAACAGAACGTTAAAACATTGCCGATCAGGAGACCCTCGAATTTCCTAGTGAATCAATTTTTTAATTTTTCAGAAAAGTTCACGATTTCATATGCTTTGTAAATAATTTTAAATATAAATGGTTATCGAAACCAAACTGACTAGTTTTTTCAACACATTTACCTTAAAAAAAAAAACGTAAAAGTTTTTAAAATGTTTAGGTGGTACACGAATATAAAAACCAAGTCCGTCACGGCACGGTCTAAAGATGTGAAACATTAAAGTCAATTGCTATTGTTAGACGTAAATAAATAGTAAAATTCACACCGATCTGGCAACACTGTTGTAGTATTGAGTACAAGCGACTGATCGGAGAGGGGCGAATGGCCGAGTAGGTCACGCACAATGACATGGCGCACACAGATGTACACAGACGGAGTAACCGAGGAAGTAGTGGGTGGGAGTGAGAAAGAGAAGCATGCATCACTGTCCCGACATTTTTCGTCACGGCACTACAGCCGTCCATTCCCCCCCCCCCCCCCCCCCCCCCCCCCCCCCCCCACTATTCCAAAAGATGTATAGCATGAAAAAAAAGAGTAAATAGTCATTACGAAAATATTGCACGACACTTTCGCAAATCCCAATTTCCCTTACGGAACGCACATAAATAATAAAAAGAAGTACCACACATAAAATAAGATTAATACAAATTGTAGCAGTAAACAATAAAGTAAATATTAGCGAAATTTTTTTTTCTTTTGAATACGAATTAAAACACATTCACAACAATTTTTTACATAAATACCATAGAAACAGAAAAATATTTGTTTGAATGTCACATCGACCTAACTGAATATCAATAATAATTCTGGTGAATAACATACTTATAAAACTATAATACATTTATCACGGCACTCCGGTTGAGAACCACTATTTACAAAGACCGTGTGTTCAGCATGCGTTCTGTGTGCCGAAGCCTTTCATATTTAATATGAATTAATTTTAAAAAGATTACTCAAAAATCATTACAAATAGTTTTACGCGAACGCGGTTTCTAAAACGCGCCGATAACCTCTTAAGACAAAAAAATAAATTGAATGACATACCTTTAAATAAAGATGAACAGACGATGAAGATAAACGGCGAAAGAACGTCCAAACGTATGACACGAAAACGACTGACGGGCAAACTGATAAAGAAGCAATACGCAGTAGCGTATTTAGGGGCAGGCTATGAGGCTAGAGCCTAGGGCGG